TTCTTATTATTTATAGGTTATGTTTAGTACATAATGGAAAGGACACATCTGCCCTTAGTACTTACATAATAAATAAAGTAAATAAAAGCTGAAATAAATAACAACTGAATTAACAAACTGACTCAAACGGACACTACTATAACTGGAACAAATAACTACACATGCTGTCCTACGAACACAGTGGGGACCACTGCAGTGGGGCCCACATCAGTGTTCTCTACAGATTTAAAATGCTCCACAAAGGCCCTAGCAATCTCAGCCTACTGGGTAAGAACCACTTCTCCCATTTCTACTTTGGAAATAAAATTCTTTGTCCTTCCATTAGCCATTGCATGATAAAACTTAGTGTTCTTGTCTCCCTTTGCACCCATTTGTGCCTAGACTTATGCTTAGACTTCTTATACTACAAAAAGTAATTATTAAGACCCTTTAATACACCTAAGGACTTTTTGAAAAATAACACCCACGTATCACACAAAACCCAAAAAAGCACAACCACCTGTATGAATTCTAAAAAAATGACTCATTTAATACCCACCTTAAATGAGTGATTAAGTTTCCATTAATCTCTCTTTGGAATTGTTTAAAAGTTTCACTTGGTAAACAAAGAAGTCTCTATCATGTGGAATTATGTAGAATTCGAAAAATAAAAAATCAGAAAAAAGGAGAAAAGAAATAGAGGCCAGGTCAGTTAGACCATTCCATTATAATGTATACATATTGATACCCTTTATGGATCCTAGAATAGCCAAGAAAGATACATTTTGTAGCATGTGCATCCAACTGAGTGGATGCGACAATGAGAAAATTTTGGGAGTAAGAGGAAAAGGAAACACAGTGGGAAACAAAACTAAGAAAGAAGAATAACCTTCATGGATAAACATGAGCATCCATTTAATGAGAAAACAAGATGTAAGTACAACATCACTCCAAAACTGTTACATTCTTATTGTGCATAATGGATTGAACAGTTTCAAGTAAATGGCAGTTCTTCCATTCAGCCACTCCAATTTGTTGTGGTGTGTATGTATAGGAAATTTGATAAGTGGTATTGTGTTGTTCCAAATTTTGCTGAAACGATGCAGAGAAATACTCTTTGCCATTATCAAAATGAAGAACTTTTAGGTGAACACCAAATTGTGTGTAAATTTCAGCATGGAACTTTTGAAAAATGGATAATAATTCACTTTTTTTCTTTCATAAGATAAAGCAATATCATCCTTGAATAATCATCAAAGAAAATTACAAAATACTTCTAACCATTGCACAACACAATTTTATTTGGACCCCAAACATCTAAACGAACCAAAGAAAGATGACTCAAAACTTGACTATCGACTTTAGGACTCAAGGGAACTCAATGATGTTTGTCATACTAACACGACTCACATTCCAAAGAAGAAAGATGACTTAATGATGGAACAAGTAACTTTAATGCTTTAAGGGATGGGTGACCAAGCTTGCAATGCCATTGGAGAGGAGTGAGAGAGGACTGAAGTGCTACTCTTGGACCACCACTGTCAAGGTGATACACTCACTGCCTTCATGCCCTCCACCATTCTTCATCCCCATCTTGTGATCCTAAAAAACACAAGAAGAGGGGTAAAAGGTAATAGAATAATTAAGAGACTTTGTCAATCTACTAACGGGCACGAGATTTAATGGGAATTTAAGTACATATAAAATAGGAATAAAGATAAAGATGCAAGGTCAACGTTACCAACACCACAAATAGGAGAAGTAGAACTACTATCTAGGATAACTGTTTGGGATGTGGAAGACTGAGAGAGAGAAGAAAGCACACTGGGAGTCCTAGCCAATGTGAAGGTTTGAATGCCAAATAAGCCATACTTGATAACTAGGGCTCGTACATTAGAAAGAGAACAGAAATGAGGGGTGTGTCTAATGTCTCACATGCCCGAACAGAGTACTAATGAGTTACAATAGGTCTAGTTTAAAAAAGAATAAAAGAGCCATACAATAATATGGTATATAGGATACACAATAAAAGGGTACTCCCAAATAAGAAAAGCATGAAATCAGCTCTTCTACCAAATAAAAGGGTACTTCTAAATAAGAAGCATCAGTTTGTCAGCAAGAAATCTGTGCTGAGGATGAGTCATAGATTTGGTGAAGATGTCGGCAAGTTGAAGTCCAGAAGAGATATGTGGAAGGGAAATTTGGCCTGCAAGAAACATTTTTTTTCTGATAACTTTGGCTTGCAAGAATCTGATCTCGAATAAAATGGCAATCAACCTCAATGTGCTTTGTGTATTTAATCTTGTTCTAGAGTTTTAATCATGCTTGAGAAAATAATAGCAAGTTTTCCAACTGAAATTTTGTTGCTTTTATGGATAGTTGCAAACAGGCAAATTAATTTTGTCCCATAGCTAATGGTATTTTGTTTAATAAAGATTTGGAGCGCTTTCTCCTGCATCTTTTTCTACATCCAGCTTATTCCTCAACTTTTCACTTTCTATTTTATTATTCTGTTTATGATTCTCTTCCTACAAGTCTTCATTGCTGCATTTTGTTTCATTAATCTTCTTTGCAGATAAGTCTACTTGATAGGCAAGAGCTTCAACAAAGAGTTAAAATGTTCTGTATGAATCGTGGGCTTCCTGAACATTGGCATCATTCTGGGATTTTTAAACGTGTTGAGCTGCAAAAAGCTTTGGGCAATCATTTGTCTTGGAAGGACCGGTATGCATTGTTCAAATCTGGTTTCTTCTTTTTTTTTTCTATTTGTTTTTTCATTGGGTTTGGGGGATATACTTTTATTGTCAGCCTAAGATTTTACCATTGCACTAAGCAATGGCCTTTTATATGAATAACAGTATAAAAGTGCATGAGAAGTGTTTGTAGACCAACAACTCCACAAAGGAAATGTCAAAAAAAGAAAAGCTGGCTTTAAAAAGATAAGCCACAACCTACCAACCTAAATCAATTTGCATGGAACCTCTGGAAAAATCCAACCAAAAGCCAATTCATGTACAAAGTAAATAAGCCCCAGGAGAAACAGGATCCTGCCCAACCACCTCAATAAGACCACAGGATCTTCTAGAGACAAGCAACAAAAGGAGATGTATCACGTTGTATTTTTCCTCTAATTTCTTTGAGCTGTAATTGTCTAACTTGTTTTTTAATGTATTTTTAAGTTTTGGTTTATAAATCTCAGTTTTCACTATTTTCCCATTTTTCAAAATGTTATGAATGATATTTATGTTCTATCCCTTAAATCATAATTTCTATCATCCATGAAATCTGAATGATTGGAGAGGATGTTGCATTTGAGATAAATGGATTAGAGATCAAAAGCTTGTATTGTAAAATTCGAGGTTTTAAAGTCATTTATATCAATATTAGAGATCAAGCCCCTTAAGTCTCTAGGCTTTGTAAAATTGATATTTCATTGTGCTTTACCCAGACTGGGTTACCTATGATTGAATACAAGCCAATAAGATGTGTCAAAATCTTACTCTACAAAGAATCTATTAGTGGTATGAGATGGAATCCATGAAAAATTGGATTTGGGAGTTCATGGATGTTATTACTTTTTTTTCTTCCCAAGAATTATCCATTGAAAGCTGATATTGTTCTTGATATTCGTTTTTGAAGTATTTTAGTTATGTTTAGTTGATACTTGAAATTTGACAAGATAAAAAGAAAGAAAAATGAAAATGTTAAGAAATAGAAATGAATATTTGAGAAAAAATGGATAGAAGGAAAAAATGTGAAGGATAAAAGAAGTAAAAACCATAAGAAGTAACTCTGATAATGTGGCAAGAAAAGGAAAGAAAAGAAAGGAAAAGAAAAGAAATATTGGTTGAGCTGAGGTTACAAGCAACTCGTTGACATTGCTAGTTGGCCCAACGTTTTACAAAACGACCCGGAAACGGAACCGTTCTAGCCACCGTTTTTTGGGCGACGGTCTGACCGTCCGGTTTGAATGGATGGCCCGTTTTGACAAACAAATTAAAAAAAAATAAAAAACGGTCAAAAACCGTTGAACGGGTCAACAAGTCGATGGTTCGACCACCCGAGTCAATGGGTTGTTGACTTTTTCAATGGTTTTTGGCCAAAGACCAGGTTTGGGGTAAAACGGAACTAGTTGCCTGGACAGTTCCCGGGCCGAATGGTCCAATTGTCCGGTTCAATGGCGATTCGAAAACCTTGAGTTGGCCTACCTTAAGAGGAAACACAAAGGCAATAGTTGTCAAGGTGATGCCTAGGCGACAAGGTGCCTTGGAGGCTTGCCTTGCCTAATCGCCAAGCAGTTTTGGATGTTGTGTTATAAAATAGACATTGTTAAACTAAAATATTCATTTTGTGCATTTATATATTAATTTCTTTTTATTATTTTCTTATTTGTTGGGGTTTATTCAACACAGGCATTGATAACTGCTGTATTCTGGAAGACTTCAAAACCTGAACCGATAAGTAAGAAGAACTTAAAATTTCGTCTACTCATTTTCTTCTTCTTCTCCCACGGTTCCACCTTTTCTTTTTTTTTCCTATAACAAAAATAGGGGTTCAACCCCTATATTTTTTGAAATTTCTTTTCTTTGTCCTTTTTCTTCTCATGAAAAAGTGGTTTCTTGGATGCTCAGTTTTATCATTATTGATGTTTCGGATTTTCCGTATTGCCAAGGAGATGTACTCATACATGGAGAGTGGTATATCAGCAGTCCAATCTTTCCTATCAGTACTAGATTGAACTAAAATATTTTCTTATAGCCAGAGATAAAAGAAATTCAGGAGTACTATGCTGGTTTCATAAATCTCTGGGTAGAATATGAGTTGGTGCATATTGGTGAGACATCCTCTACTTGTTGTGTTAAGGTTCTAAAGTAATACTTTGGCAGTAGGAAGATAGTGCATTTTTAATGCCCAAGTATGAGGTTATTAGGGCAAATATCCTCGATAGGAGCAGCACCCCATCTCTTGACACTTTCAAAGGAGAGTTGCTAAGAGAAGAAACTCATCTGATTACTCAATCAACTATTGGTGGGAGGACAGATTCAGGGATGGAGACAATTTTTCTTGCAACAAGCCAAAATAGAAGAAAGACCTATCAAAAATGCAATGCTATGAGTGCAAAGAATATGGACATGTTGCTTTTCACTACAAGAAGACAACATGGACATATAATTATTGAATGTCCTACGAGGCCACCTAAGGGTCAAAACTAGGGATCCATCAAAAGTTATCTAAAAGCCTATCAGGCTACAATGGATGAATAGGATGATACTTTTGTGATTTCCCCTTCCTCTAGATGGAAGGATGATACATTGGTTTGTTTAGCAAGTCTTCTTCTCAGTGTTCCTCATTTAGTCATATTTGGATTATAGACTTTGGTGCCTCCAATCACATGATAGGGGCATACTCAATTTCTGGTCGGTCTCTTAAACCCCCCATCTATGAATAAACACATTGTTACAGCTAATGGTGAGAAACTTGATATAATAGGATATAATGATTTGTACTTGTCTACATCTACTACTCAATTTCATCTTCCTAGAACACTTTTTGTACCTATTACCTATGATCACCACTAATTTGATTTTTGTTGGCCAGCTAGTTGAAGATAATAATGTTGTTTCCTTTTCCTGTGATGGTTGTTTAATACATGACCAACTCAGTGGAGCAGTGAAGGGGAAGGGTGTAGGATGGGGCGGTTGTTTGCCTTGAATTTTGGACATTCACCAGCTGTCTTCTTGCTTATTGTCTACTACTCTGAACTCTAAAGTTATCTGCAGAAATAACTTATGGCATCATTGGCATAGGCACTTAGGCCATCCTTTTTCTAATAAACTTGATTTTTTTTTTGTTTCAATCTGGATGTTTGACTTACAAGAACACTTATTTTAATAATATTGATAAATCTTGCATCTCTTGTTGTTTGAGAAAAAGTCATGTTCTGCCTTTTCCTTGTACTTCAAAGCATAGCAATGTTCCTTTTAATGTCATTTATAGTGATGTTTGGTTGCATCCTTTGGTTTTTAGACTTGGATATAAATACTTTGTTTCATTCATTGATTAATGCACCGGATACATATGGATATATTTTTTTGACAAAGAAATCAGAAGTATTTCCTACATTTAAATTATTCCTTGTTATGGTGAGAACCCAGTTTAATGCCTCAGTGGGAGTTCTACAATCAGATTCGGGGGGAGTATTATGATGAAGATTTGGGTACTTTTAGACCTCTTTGAAAGAGTAGGGAATTAAATCTAGGAGATCTTATCCTGGTACCCCGCAACAAAATGGGGTGGTAGAGTGCAAGATAGGGTATAGTCTAAGTGTGGTCAAAACCCTTCTTTTGACTCCCATGCACCTAGTTCCTTCTTGGTGGAGGTGACCAGCACTATTGTGTTTCTTATTAACTTGCTTCCTTCTTCTGTGTTGCACAATTCTTCACTGTATGAATGCTTGTTTCATCATTCTTTTAATTTTTCTATGCTTCATGTGTTTGGATGTATTTGTTTTGTTCACCTTCCTCCTCATGAGCGCACAAAGCTTATACCTCAGGTGGCTATATGTGCCTTTGTGGGGTATAACCCTGACTAGAAGGTTTTGTTATGATCCCCGACTTCATCGTGTGCATATCTCCTAGAATGTAGTCCTTCTGGAAGATATTTTGTTCTTTTCTCACGTAGCAAAATCTTCTGCTTCTTTTGGTTTGTTCTTGAATTCCTTTAATTCTGTAGGGTTAGTGGAGTCTTCTTCTTCATCTGTTTCTCCTACATGACCCTTCTAGGTCTACATGAAGAGGCATTCAATTGTTCCAGCTCTTGCACCTTTGCTCCTTCACTTCCAGCTGTTGGATCTCTATCTTCTACTCATACAGCAATTACCCCACCTTCTTCTACCACTGGTTCATCTCCTCCGTTAGATCCACCTTTACGATGTTTTGCTCGTGTTTCATGCCCACCTAGCTGCTATGGCTTTCCATCTGGCCATAGTTCCTTTTCTATTATGTTGTCTTTCACAGAAATTCCCAAAACGTACCAACAAGCTATGACTGCTCCGCATTGAAAGGAGGCTATGGATATTGAAGTTTAGGCATTACTGGAAAATGATACATGGGATCTGGTTCATTCTCCGCCAGATGCTTGTGTTATTGGTACCTGTTGGGTGTACTCAATAAAACTGAAGTTAGATGGGAGTTTTGATTGATTTAAAGCTCATCTAGTTGCACAGAGTTATAAGCAAGAATATGACATCGACTAAGCAGGGACTTTTGCTACTGTAGAAAAAATGACTACATTGTGTATGATTCTTTCTCTGCTATTAAGAAGTGGGTTATTCATCAAATGTATGTGAAAAATGCCTTCTTGCATGGGGATTTGTAGGAGATAGTTTATATGAAGCCACCTCTTGGGTACAATGTTGCATCTGAGTAGGTATGTTGATTAAAGAAGTATTTGTATGGCCTCAAAGAAGTGCCTAGGGCTTGGTTTGAGAAATTTAGGTCTACCATTTTTTATGCAAGGTTTACTCAAAGTTCTGCTGACTATTCTTATTATTTTGTGTGGATGATATCCTGATTACAAGAGATGATGTTGAGGGTATTTCTTCCTTGAAACAAACTCTCAGTCATTCATTCAAGATGACAGATCTTGGTCCTCTGTATTACTTCTTGGATCTAGAAGTGTCTCATTCTGATCATGGGTACTTTGTCAATAAATTCGGCCCCCCTAATGGTTGAAAAACAAGTTCTTTTTTTTTTCTTTTTTTTTTACAAAAAAAAAGTTGATACACCTCTTGAACTTAACCATAAGCTCTCTAAGGAAGATGGTGAACCCGTTGCTAACGCTACCTCTTACAAGCATCTGTTTGGTAGTCTTATATATCTCAAAATGACTCAACCTGACATATCGTATGCAATTCAGTTGGTCAGTCAATTTGTCTCTTCCTCAGGGAAGCCCCATATGTTAACAATTCGTTGGATTATTTGATACGTTCGAGGGACTCTGTCTCATGGCCTCTTCTTTTCTTTCTCCTTATTTACTGTTAAAGCCTATGATAATGTTGATTGGGCTAGGTGTCCTGAAACTAGACACTCCTACACTGGGTTGTGTGTCTTACTTGGAGATTGTTTGATATCATGTAAGTGTAAGAAACAACAAATTATCTCTAACTCCTCCATGGAAGCAGAATATCGTGCAATGTCCTCTGCCTGTAGTGAATTGGTGTGGCTTTGTGCTCTCTTGGATGGCATTGGTCTTTCTTATTCTTGTCCTATTCCTCTTTATGCGGACAATATTAGTACAATCAAAATTGCTTCAAATCTAGTATTCTATGAAATAACAAAACATATTGATTGGGGTTGTTTGCCACTTTATCAGGTATCAAAACCTTATGGACCATGTCACCCTTGCTAACATGTCTTTTGGTCTTCAATTGGTAGATCTCTTTACGAAAGATCTGATACGTTCTCACCATCAATTTCTCAGTGATGCTTATTTCATGGCATTAATTTGAGAGGGGGGGGGACCGAGGGGTGTAGAGATATGGGGTGATCCCCCTTGTGGGACCATGTTTATATTGTTACATTGTTTGTACCTTATCTTGCTGTAATTCATTTTTTTTCTTTTATTTCTTTTATTTGTCTTTCTCTTGTATGTGAAGGACATAATTGTCCTTTCACACTATTTTGAGTTAATATAATTTATTCCTTTTCTGGACGTGTGATGTGAACACACCTGAAGCAACTTTGTGTTGTTTGAACTTCTCTAACATACAAGACAGTGTAGGATGGATTGGAATTTGGTAGAAGTGAGATAATAACACCATCAATGTTGTCATTAAATAGTGCCAAGGACTCAATAGAGGATGCATCAAAGAAAATGATGTACAATTGGCATAATTTTACAGCATTAAAATTGTTGAATTGTGGACATGAATGCAGAACTCCAATTGTGTTACTAATATTCATAATGTTAAAAATATAATCAGATTTCTTCAAGTCAAAAACCAATATTGTAGTAGGCTCTCTTCATGGATGAACATGTTGAACTATTGATAGTGATCTATGGTGATGATTGAAGAAGGTTTTTCATCTTATTCTTTTACCAAAAATCAAGTAGTATGAAGAAAAAAAAGGATGACATGGGCCAGATGGAAGTTACATGATTGGAAGCCCATGAGTTGATAATCCTTGAAGAATTTATCTAATGGAGGACTGCCTCATTTTCCACATTGTTGGGTATATGGAAAAAGAACCGATTTTAAGATCACTTCAAGATCTTTACCTTGATCATTGATTGGACTCCCATGCACAAAGATTTCAAGAAGACATTTTGTTAGAATCAACTTTGACAACAAATAGGAGTACTGATGTGGATGCGTATTGGGAGCAGCAGCAGCAATGATCCGGTGTTCTCATCCTATCCAATTCGGCAGCAACARTCTTRTCCATTYAGCAKATTAGATTAGACTATCTTGTTATTCTTATCTTATTAAGTTAGTAGATTAGATTATCTTATCTTATTAGATTAGGATTAAGAGAGATTATCTTATCTTATTAGATTAG